AGTATCTAAATTAAAGTGAAAAGAATATTTCGAGATTAGTTTATTTTACAGTGATTTCAACCAAAATTGGCGAACTTTTGGTCTTCGCAAATTGTACTCAGACAGTTGAATCAAATCTCAGTTTTGCAGCGAGTCACAAAAGATCGGAGATCGGCCCATCCGACGAATTCGAAACATCGTATTTTGTCGAAGCGATGCTCAAAGACATCACTCAAATTATCAGTAAGTAGTTTGAATTGAGTGAAAAATCTGCTGAGCTCATGTAGGACCATTACTCATAAGCTGAGAGCTACAGAAATTCAACATCCATTCTTATGTTATTAATCTTTTACATGAGAAAGAAACATTTCATCAATCTGAAGATGAAGCGTTAACCTTCACTGAAAACGGGGCGAAGGCGGACCCAAATGTATGGGTACTGATCAACGTACAAGGAATTGTTTTTATACCTTATACAGGGAGCTTCAATCTTATAATGGGTGATTTTTTTGCTAGTATCTTTTTGGCAACACTGTTTTTGACAGATGACGCGTGAATCGTGTCTTGTGTCATTGTCAAACTTGTTCAGTTTGGTCTATAATTTAACCATGAATCGACTTACGAACGAACAAGGCTTGCAAATTATTGAATTTTACTATCAAAATTCATACTCGTTTAAGAGACTGCATCAAGCACTGCTTCCAATTTATGGGCAATTTGGTCGGACTACTGAGGGAGCTATTCGGAAGCTTGTGACTAAATTTCGAACCCAATTTACATTATTGGACATTAAACCACCAACACGCAGACGTAGAGTGAGGACTGAGGAAAATATTGCGGCTGTATCCGCCAGTGTTAGGGATGACCGTGAAATGTCGATTCGCCGCCGTTCGCAGCAATTGGAAAATTTTGCGACAGGATTTGGGTGTAATACCTTATAAGATACAGCTGGTGCAAGAATTGAAGCCACACGACCTCCCACAACATTTGGTGAATGGGCGCTGGCAAAGTTGGAGGAAGATCCACATTTTTATCGAAAAATTGTGTTCAGCGACGAAGCTCATTTCTGGTTGAACGGGTACGTTAACAAGCAAAATTGCCGCATCTGGAGTGAAGACCAGCCAGAAGCATTGCAAGAGCTATCAATGCATCCCGAAAAAATCACTGTTTGGTGTGGATTATGGGCCGGTGGCATCATCGGGCCGTACTTCTTCAAATACCACAATGGCCGGAACGTAACTGTGAATGGCGAGCGCTACCGTGCGATGATAACAAACTTTTTTGCCCAAAATGGAAGAGCTGGACTTGGCTGACATGTGGTTTCAACAAGACGGTGCCACATGCCACACCGCACACGAAACAATGGCCCTATTGAGAGGCGAGTTCGGTGAACAGTTTATCTCACGTTTGGGGCCCGTCAATTGGCCGCCTAGATCGTGTGATTTAACGCCGTTGGACTATTTCTTGTGGGGCCATGTTAAGGCATAAACCAGCAACGATTGACGCACTGGAAGCCAATAATGAAGCATTTATTAGTGAGATACCGGCCGATATGTTGGAGAGAGTGTGCCAAAATTGGACCTTGCGCATGGGCCATCTAAAGCGGAGCCGCGGCCAACATTTACATGAAATAATCTTTAAACATTAAATTATATCGACCGTTCTATCGACTCAAATAAGGATTTAATAGTTTTTTAAAATTTTTTGTGTTTTTTTTTTTTTGAAAATCAAATCCTATACCTCTTAAAAAATCACCCGTTATTAATCATGTCTCATTCTAACTTCTGTGATGTCGTCTAGGACAAATGTTTAACTAAATTGTTCATCTTTTACCCTATCTTGACACCCTGGCAGATCCAACTTTCCAACAAGATAATGCCCGACCACATGTTGCAAGAGTCACAATAGACTTCTTTCAACATAATGAAGTCACATTGTTACCATGGCCACCAAGATCTCCCGAATTATCCCCAATTGAGCACGTTCATATACCTTTATTAATAAATATGGTCACAAACAAGCTACTTGCTAAACAATTTAAAAAAAAACGCCCTTCATGGTTGATACGTTTAATTAGCAAAATTATTAAACGTGATACGGAAAACATGGCGTTATGTAGGTTGACTCTGCAATTGCCAAGCACCGCTGTCACCAGTTCATACAGAATTATGTTCGGCACAAGTTAGATGATCTGTCGATCAAGTCAGTCAACCAGGTCCACACAATTAGACCCATTTAACAACGTTGGGATCCAGAAATTTCTTCCCTGTCCTCCCGAAAACAATTACCATCTGGCAACGTTGCTAAGCCTCGACAGCCAGCCACCACTTAGAGTGCTGGATTCCGTTTTTCGCAGTTGGTAGGTCAGAAGGGGCAGACACGTATATCTTACCTACGTTCGTTGTTTTATGGGCAATCTGTAAAGGGAACCAACCCGGCGTTCCCAGAGACTGAAACACGAGGAGACGTTGTAGCAGACCGCAGGTCACGCACAAAACATGGCCTACCGAGACGCTGATGGGTCGGGCCACGCGGAGGTTAGGGTTTAGTGGGTATTAGGTGGTCTCCTCAAGACAACCTGGAGTCCCACACACGCCGTAGCTCGGGCTATGGTATGGTGCGTAAACGCATCCCCCCCTCACCAAAAAAAATTTATGGGCAATCGAGGAAATCTATTGTGTGTGCAAGATGTCTAATAGATGAGTCAAATTAAAAAGGTTGAAAACTTATAAACATATTAACGCCAAAAAGTGAGACATAGCCTCCCCACATTTATGGATTTTCAAAAACTACAAAGCATGGTAGTAACATTGTGTGAAACTTTCATCAAAATCCTTATGGTACTGCTCAAGTTATAGAGGGGTCAAGAACAGAGAGACCGACAGAAAAACAATCAGTCAGACCGACATGGTACCCGGTACTTTTGTTCTAAGTGGTGATATTGCCAGGCTGCCAACAGGTCATCATATCGTGCGATATGGATTATACCGTAGATCGGTACTTGGTGCTGAAGTAACGATACTACCGCTAGTACCGGTACTACGACTAGATATAAAAACGGTCAAGTCATCATGTACAAAAACATCACAGAACGCTGAACTGGTACGTACTCCTAATATTCAAGTATTGCTAAAATATATAGGGTTGTCCAATAGGGACGCAGGAAAGTAAACGTCAATTTGACATAGACGCCATCTTTGTTTTCTGTCTCCGACATGTCTTTTTGTTAGTTGAATGTTTACCATTGATCGCTATGGAGTCGTATTCGATTGAACACCGCATTAAAGTTATTCAAGAGCACTACAAAAATGGTGCAAAAATAAAAAACACGTTTCGCGCGCTTCGTGAACATTTCGGTCGCAACAACCGCCCAAACGAAACAACCATCGGTCGTCTGGTGCGTACATTCGAGGCAACAGGTTCTGTGGCAAATCTGCCAGGCTCTGGCCGGCCAAGGAGCGTTCGCACACCGGAAAATATTGCTGTTGTGAAGGAGAGTGTGAGAGACGATCCGAAACAATCAACAACGCGTCGATCCCAAGGATTTGAATGAACACGCCTACAAGATCCAATTGACGCAAGAGCTGCGTTGGGCCGACCATTTTTCGCGCCGAACGTTCTCAGATTGGCTCCTTGAACACCGCCAAATTGATGTCAATTTTTCATCAAAAATCATGTTCAGCGACGAAGCGCATTTCACTTTGAATGGGACGGTAAACAAGCAAACTGCCGCATCTGGGCGAACGAAAATCCCCGTGAGTATCAAGAGCAGCCGATGCATCCTCAAAAGTGACTGTGTGGTATGCATTGTGGTCAAAAGGCATCATCGGACCTTACTTTTTCGAAAATGCGGCCGGGGACGCCGATACCGTCAATTCTGAGCGATATCACGTGATGATAGAGGACTATTTTTTGTCGCAACTTGAAGGAATCGATATGGACGATGTTTATTTCCAACAAGACGGTGCAACACGCCACACAACCAACGTCAATATTCATCGATTGCAGTCCTTCTTCGGTGATCGCGTGATTTCGCGCAGAGGAAATGTGCCATGGCCACCAAGATCGTGCGATTTGACTCCCTTGGACTTCTTTTTATGGGGACATTTGAAAAGCAAAGTCTACGTCAACAAACCAGCCACCCTCCAAGAACTCAAAAACAACATCATTGCCGAGATAAATGCCATAGAACCGACCATGTTGCAAAATGTCATTGAAAATTTCGACCATCGCGTGGACGTCTGTAAATCCAGTCGTGGTGAACATTCGAGCGATATTATTTTTCATACATAAATGGTATAAATGAACCTTCAAAATAAAGTACCCAACTTGATTTGAATATCAATCTTTCTTGTTTTAATATGCGTTTACTTTCCTGCCTCCGTTTTGGACAACCCCATATAAATATTTCTCCTGTAGCGGTTGACCAGTTGAAGCTTGTTACTCATTGCACAGTCAGCAGTGGCCAGTGACGATGCAGCATCGCGCCGTGCACGCAACACCGATTGCCAAGTTATTTCGAATTATGAGAACATATGACTTTTATTATTTGATTTTCCTGTTGTTATCGGGAGGCTAATACAACCTCCTACCTCTACAACCCCCAACCCTCCAACTTTCAACCCTTTCAAATTTTTAACGAAAAATGATCAGGAGCATCTGAAACGTGAAAAAACGGAGTTTAAGCGATTTTTATTTTTTTCGTGTTTCTGTCCTTAGCTCCGCCACTATTAGGCGCAGTAGTAACCTTGCGTGAAAATTTCATCAAAATCTGAGCGGTGCTTCTCAAGTTATAGGCAGTTATAAAATTAGCGGACAGACAGAGACAGACAGACCGAATGAAATGAGTGAAAGTTTTTCGTGATGTACATGTCATATAACATTCAAAATACATAATATCTCAATGTCGAAAATTTTCGCGATGACAATAATTCCCCGAGGGAAGTAAAAACACCAATAATCCAAAAGATTGCCCGCGTATTCTAGGACATCCTGTAGAAGTAATGTATTTTTTCAAATAATCACTCACCAGTTTCGGTGTCGATTGTGTAGTCTAATCCTGCCCATGGATCTGGATCTTCTTCCGGTTCCTCCTGATGAACAAATTCCGAAATGAAAAAATATACAGTTCCAGAATATTTGCTTGCAAAAGCTGATTCCATAAACAAAAATTGAGCGATTCACACGAGTTCCCTATCTGAGCTCAGAGATAGCTGATAAACAGATAGCGTGTTGATAGAAATTTAATTATCTATAAACACACGTGGATTCCCGAATAACTATTTCAATTCTTAGATAAATGTGTCTATTAATTTTGCGAGATTATTACAGAAAGTCTATATTGTAGTTAGAAATTCATAGATAAGAAAATGAGAGCCAGCGACGAATGAAAAATACACTGATTCAAGAAGCTGCAAAGATGCACTGGGAAAGTTGAGTGACATCTTTGGGCGAGTATAAAATTATTTTTCACTTCTTGTATCATTTATTAATTATAAATAATTACCTTAACATCTTTATCTTTGTTGATGGCCTGTAAGGTCTTGAGCTTCTCGATATCATCTGTGCTATGCGTGGCATTTTCAATTTCCACATCTGGCTTTTCAGGTTTTGGAGCTGCATTTTCAACAGAAAAACCAAGATCAACATCCTGCTTCCATAAGACTTCTATCAGATCCATATCCTGAAACGAAAAGAAAAAAGGATCATAGTCAGAATATCCATAAAAAGAAAGGATTTTTTGTATACTCCAGCTACCACGAAGGCCTAAGGCCTAAACACCCATTGGGTACCGTGGGGCTATAGGGGGATACAGGGGAAAGGGGGGGGACGCCACACGGACTCTGGCGAGGGAACACGTGTGCATGCAACATGCACACATTCTGGCTCCGCCTACGAGATCCGCCGGGTGGTACCTCCGCGTTCGACAGTCAGAGACCGTCTACCACCTACGGACAATCACAACATCCATAGCCAAGAGAAAAATTTCTCCTGGGACGGGACTCGAACCCGCACAGCGCACGGCGACTGATCAGGAGACCGAAGAGTCTACTACTGCGGCCACCGCTGCTGCCTGTATACAACATTTTCTTTATTTATTAGTTGTGATCTAGTCTGTGAATTTCTCCATATTCTGGAATCATGCACTGATCTAGGCCAACTGATATCAACACTTGTGAAAATCTCTCTGGCAAAACAAGTGGCTTGCATATTTAAAGTAGGTTTCCCTTTTCGGTTGATATACTCATCTCCATGGCGGATTCCTATATGTGTACAATCAATTACACCAATTTATACATGCTTAGCCATATCCGCTTGGCCTCCATCAGTTCATGGTTGGTAGTTGGAAACTTGATTCATTCGTTCGACAGTGCAACTATGTTGTTCACAACGCTATCCACAGTCCGAGATAGCGTTGCTTGAATAACACCAAGTTCCTGACCAATACCTTGTTGATATCCAGGGTCACCGAGATAGCGTAGACATATCTTCATTTTATGAATACATGAAAGTGCTCCTCCTCGAGTTTCCTCATTCTCAACTAAAAATCTGTCCGCAAGCCATTGTACATTTGCTTCGTCGAACCAAGTGAAGGTAAACGAGGTTTGTACGTTTTAACATCCCTAACATAAACAATTTCCGCCATCATCGTTTGACCACCTTTCGTTACCAAGTTGAGTCTGCTACTGACCACACTCAGAATTTTTGAAGAATATGCTTCCTATGCCAAGCATAAGGTGAAGATTATGTCACTTATGTCACTGCTTTGAAGGATATGCTTATACTCTTTTCTATATTATCAACAGCAGTACAACTTGAAAATCTTTTTTTAAGAAAGAAGAAATTTTAGCCAAAATTTTAGAATATTGCATCATTTATGACACACGACTATGTAAATAACTTCCAAATTCAACGTATTAGTACTAATACTGCTCATGATACTAACGAGCTAGATTCTTTTTACAAAATCCTGAAATATCTGTTAGAATTTATCATATGAACATCAGAAGTATAAAACATAACTTTGACTACTTTAAATTAATTTTGAAAAGAATACAAAGTGATATAGATATAATCATTCTATCCGAAACATGGCAAGTGGGCGATGTAACTCTGTTTCATTTAGAAGGGTACGATACATTGTATAATTTTGGTAACCATAATCAAAACGATGGAGTGGTGGTGTATGTACGAAACAATCTGCCTTATAACCATACCATATTTACAATCAACAATAAACTAAAAGGTATCAATCTAACAATGCAAATTGAAAATCGTAGAGTCAAAATTACTTGTGTTCACCGACCACCATCTTCAGATCCTCATACATTTATAAGAGACATAGATGAACTATTAAAAAACAATGAAAACAATCACCTTCATAATCAAATATTTATAGGCGACATCAATATAAACATTTTAGAGGAAAATTCTATGGTGAAAGAATATTTAAACATTTTATCAAGTAATGGTTTTTTATCATACATAAATAAAGTAACACGACCCACCAGTAAAACCTGCATTGATCACTGCTTTATAAAGGATATTTCCAATATTTTTTCTTACATGCCTATTATCTATGAAACCGATATTACAGATCATTATTCCACTATATTATTGATATCTTCACAAAATAAAAACCAGAACTGCCCAAGGGCAAAAAATGAAAGAAACCTTGCATACAAATATTTCACTGACAACTCAAAATTAATATTTAACGCACAAACGGAATCGTGGGACGAAATTTTTTTAACAAATTCTTTAGACGAAGCTACAAATTTATTAATACACAAAATTCAAAAAGTAATTGAAGTTAGTACTAATAAGGTTAAAATAAATCACAAGGAAAAAAGCAGAAATGATTGGATGACCAAAGGACTAATAAAATCTGCAAACGAAAAAGAAAGACTGTATAAAATCATGAAATATTTACCCACGAAAGAAAATATAGATCATTATAATCAGTATAAAAACAAATTTATAGAACTTTTGAGAAAAGCAAAAAAAAATTACTATATAAAACAATTGAATAATAATTCACATGACTCTAGACACCTATGGTCCACTGTCAATGATATATTCAATAAGTCATCCTATTCAAAAAACAATATTAATGAAATAAAAACAAAAACAGGACAGAAAACAGACAATATTCAACAAATACTTATGTGATAAGTTCATAGAATTTTTCACGAATATAGGAGGAAACTTAGCAAATGATATCAAACAAAATGCTGATATTCATCTGCATGAAACAAGACTGAATAATTCATTTGTATTAACTGAAGTAGACTATCAGGATGTTTTCAATGCCATTATGACTCTAAAAATAAAAAAAGCCCTGGAGTTGACGAAATTAGAGGTGAACATCTAAAGATACTGGCCAAACAAATAACAGAACCACTTGCTTATATCATTAACAAATCCTTCCAATCTGAAGTATTTCCATCAGCTTTCAAGACAGCAATCATCATACCTATCTATAAATCTAATGATAATACGGACGTCACTAACTATCGACCTATTTCACTTATATCAAGTTTAGCTAAAGTTTTTGAGAAATTACTCCTTAATAAAATGATTAATTTTCTTAATAAATTCAAAATTCTAAATTCAAATCAATATGGTTTTATAGCGGGCAAATCTACAACAGATGGGGTATATTAAGTATAGTAGATGAAATAACCCAAAATATAGATGGAAAAGTACCATCGATATGCGTATTTGTGGACTTACAAAAAGCGTTTGACACAGTTAACCACAATATACTTTTGGAAATCTTAGAAAGAATAGGTTTTCGTGGAAAGATGTATACTTTAATGGAAAATTATTTATCAAATAGACCGCAATCAGTAAAATTATTAAGCTCGTATAGTAAAGAAATGTTTGTTAAATGTGGTGTTCCACAAGGTACAATTTTGGGTCCTCTGTTATTCAATATTTATTTAAACGATATATTCAAAATTAACAGTACTGGTAAAATAGTCAGTTTTACAGACGATACTGCTATACTCTATAAAGGTAAGGATTGGAACGACTTAAAAGATATTATCCAAAATGACTTTTGTAAAATTATTCAGTGGTTTAATAACCGAAAATTAATAATTAACTTTACTAAAACTCATTTTTTACCATTTTCATCATTAACTAATCATCTACCAAAATATAACCACCTTCGGTTTAAGGTAAATGATAAAAATATAAAAATCAATAGAGTTAATGATATAAAATATTTAGGAATTTATCTAGATCCCCACTTGAGATGGGATGTACATATTTCTCACATACTAAAGAAAATTAGATTCATAGCATATAAAATAAAATTTCTAACCGGTATATTAACTGAATATTATCTACGAATAATATATCAAGCTTCAGTCGAGCCACACATAACATATGGTATAGTAGTGTGGGGTGCTGCATGCACGACATACTTTAACGATTTAGATGTACTTCAAAGAAGAATTTTAAAATCAATGTTAGGCAAATCAAAATTATACCCAACTAATGACTTATATAATGATGCACAAGTATATGATACTAAACAACTTTACTTCTTACATACCATCACTCATTATCACAAAACTATTAGTGAACACGACATAATTAAACATAATCATAAAACCAGATATAAATTACGCGCAAAAAATGTTCCTAAACCAAACAAATCCCTAATGAAACGATGTCACCTGTATATAGCTCCAAAATTGTACGAACATTTACCAAATAATTTAAAACAATTACGCAATACATTAGGCTTCAAAAAAAATTAAAAAATTTATTAACACGATTGGGAGAAATCAAATTAATAAAATAATCTCAAATATTACACAATAAATGCTCTACCATTCTTACCAATAATTTCTTTTTTCTCTCTATTTTATTATATTTTGCAATTCAACATACATATGATCCATGCACAGGCGTTGTCCTCCTATGGATATATTATATTTATTTACTCGTTTCATGTTCTCTGTATTTTAGAGTAAATAAATATTATTATTATTATTATTATTTACTTCAAATTATTATAAATACCATCTGGAGGATTTCCTTCAAAATTTGCAAGTACAAGGATATCCTTTGTTTTATGAATACGGATCATTTCTTAGCACGACAACGCATCCCAATGAGCGCTAGATGGGTACTAAATAAAAACGCTCATCTATGATCATGGAGGTGGAAACACACAATTCACAATTCAAAAATATTTACGCGCAAGATAAAACCATTATTTGGGAGTGTAAAGTAAGGTAACGTATATTTTCAACATGCATCTTAATTCAAGGATCTGGTATAACATATTGGCAATGCGGCAGACTGCTGCGTCAGCGTTGCTAGGCAACGCGCTAATGAGCTTCGCTATCTAGGCGACTTCTATCTCTTTCTCACATATGTGTCTATATACGTCAGACAAATTGGTTTTCCCTGTATACAGAATACACACATTTTATATGGTCGCTTATATGGATTCACCGGTATTCTGGGCTCAACCTTTGTAGACGCTCAAGTTTAAATAGTAGATAACATACCAAGGTTGAGGAGTAAACCATCATTGGTCAATATTTTTTATATACATACTGAGACACATAGTGCCAAGAGGTATAATGTGTGAATTTGTTTTCCGGTTAGTAATGAAAAAAAAAATAATATGTTTTGCTTTATCCGGGTTTCATCTTCATTTG